TAATTAATTAATTAACACTAATTAATCAAAACATTTTTCCTCAGTTGTAAGGTAGTAAAGGTTCTTTGTAAGGTTTATACAAACTGCACTGATGTTATAATTAAGTTTGATTCTAATTTAATGGCGTTCTTTTGTGTGTTTATACCTTCAGTGTATTGGGCTGCCACATAGTTGTTAACAAGAATTTGAAATGGATTTTTTTAAATGCCCCTAAATTCCTGTTGGAGTCGCCTGGCCCAGTCACTAGCCTCATTCTGATTTATTTCCCCCCTTTCCACCCTTTTGTTCCTACTCAGCATTTTCCTAAATTTACTCTGCTTAGCTTTCCCTTTATTACACATTTATTTGTCCTCCTCTCATATCCTCCATGACTCTGTGTTTTCTGTCTACCTAACAACTGTCTACCCGCGCACCCTGCACTGCTGTTATTGCACTTCTGGTTAGATGCTAAATTGTATTTCGTTGCCTTGTACTTGTACATGTGTCCTGACAATAAAGTTGAGTCTAATCTAATCTAAGACCACAGTAATCCTGGTCATAAATAGCCGTTTCCCTCAGAGTAGGCATACAGTCATCTTATTTCACAGTAAACTGTAAGGGGTTTGTAGCTGTGCTTTTACACATGTGGGAATACTGAAGTAGGAGGCCTTAAACCAGGCTGAAAAACCACAAGTTGGCCTTGTTGATACAAGGGACAGTGTATTTCCCAGAGCTTTGATCCTTCATGCTTGACAGTCCAGGGAGCACCATGAAATGTGAAATTTGCCATTGTCAACCCTCTGCGGATGCACACTAGTGCTGTCTGTGTAGGAAGTGAGCGCCACAGTGCTTGTGCTGTCTCCCTTATGAGAGCGATCATCAGTCATTCTGCACTTTCATTCATAGCCTACACACACACACCAGCAGTAAATGTGTGTGCACTTAGGATCATTTTTGGTTAAGGGCAGGGTAAACATTTAATTACGATGATTAGGGTAAGGTGCTAGGGAATGCATTATGTCAATGTGTGTGTGTGTGTGTGTTTATGCACAAACATGCATTCCCGAGCCACAGGTACACTGTGCCTGTTTGCTTTCCTGCTCCATATATTTGATCAGTTGATTTGAAATGAAACATAGCCTTTCTTTTCATTTTTATTTCAAGTGAGATTTAAAACCTTTTTACAATAATTGTTCATTTAGGTTTATTTGATGTTACACAATTTGCATGAAAAAATGTAGGATTGAAGCCCAGCTGTTTTGTTTTGTCCTGCAGTTCTTTGAATATTCTACAGATGGCGAGCTCCGTTACAATACAAGGGAGCCTGCTGGATGTGTTGCTCGTGACAGCATGGACATCTACCTGACTGTCCAGCTGTGCAGAAAACGAGGGCAACCTGTACCTGCAGATCAGAAATTTGTCCTCCGAGAGGTAAGGGGTATATATCTGGTTTTAGTCTCTGTTAAATTAAAGTGAGGAAGAAGAGTGGGCAGATTGGAGTGAATGTGCAGAATAGAATGAATTTTTGAGTTGTTGTCTGGTAGAACTATATTGTCAAAGACTGACTCTTTTTGGTTATAACCCATTTCCCACTTCACACCCATCCAGTCATCAACAAAACTCTCCTTTTTCTGATTTCTCTGGCTGTTACAGACCATCATGAGGTGTATCCATAGTGTTTACATCCAGTAGGTTCTGGTTCTTTTGCGCCATAAAAAGAGCAGAGCAATAATAGTAATGTGATGATTTTTTTTAAATTTTAAATAATCAATCTCACAGCTAAATGGGCTTCTGGGAGTACATCTTAATAATTAGAAAGCATTCATATTCCTTTTCAAAGTCGTATGATAATTTAAGTCCTTTAAGTGTCTCTACTGTAATTGAAACTGAGAGAAGTGTATAACGCAGTCCCCGCTACAAACCAAATCTAATTCATGCCACAAAGTCAAAGTAGTGTCAAGTACATTGCTGGGCTACTCCACAGGGGCCGAGCACCAGTGTGGCTGATATGGGACTGTAAATCACAAAGCACCAGCATGCTCGGTGTTCACCACACAGTGCTGGGAGTTGTTGAGCATGTGTTCCGTGTAGTCGCACCAAGTATAACCACAGAATGGGAAGTGGGGAAGTGGGGAATTGGACAGTAGAGGGACAGTCTAACATGCAAAATAGGCAACAGCCAGTCAGGAGAAGTAAACTTTGGTGCTCTCAAAGCAGTGGTAATGAAAAAAATTCTAAAGATAAAATCATTTTACTGAGTAGCTGTTCAGTTAATTTAGACATGTACACCGATCAGCCATAACATTATGACCACCTGCCTTACACTGTGTACACAGGAGTCAATGCAGCAGTTGGCACTCGTGTCGCTCTGCAGCTCACTGTGCATCTTCTGTGAATCTGTTTGCTTCCACAGTTTTACTGCCAGGAAGAGCACAATGTGTCTGTTTAGTAAAACACTTGTGTTATAGCAGTTCAGTTCATTTTATTTGTATAGCACCAAATCACAACAAAAGTCGTATCAGGACACTTTACAAAATAAGATCTAGGTATCAGGTCGGCAACTTTTACTATCAAAAGAGCCATTTTGCCCCCTCTTCCACTAAAGAAAAATAGTCTGGAGCCGCAAAACATGACACAGCTTATAAACTTTAAAAAATTGTAATCTTTTTATAATTTTACCTGTTACAACAACAGAATACAACAAACAGAAGTGCAATGTGCATGTGTAGGCCTACTTTGAAATTCATTAAACACTGAACTACTTTTTGAGTCCTTCCCATATTTGTGTAAAAGTTCAAATTAAACGTAGCCCACGTGTGCCCGACTCTTTATCTAGACCTTAAGACCTAAAGAGGAAAACCAACAAATCCCCAAATCCCCATTGAACAAGCACTTAGCGACAGCGGGGAGGAAAAACTGTGGTCGTGAGGACAAGGTAGAGATTTTTTTTTTTTTAAAGACAAAATTCAACAGCCTCCCCACTCTAGGTGTGATATCACCACTATAGCCGCTGAATGTTTCTCTTCATAGAGACCAATGTAGTGTTTCTCACTTCAGACATTTTAACAAAGGTTAAAACTAATTTTAATCTTTTTTTGAAAAATGGAATTTAAAAGTTTAATTTACAGGTCAACCTCATCATTGCTGAGCCTTGGGTCACTGTTGGTAGGTACTGACCACTGCAGACTGGGAAAACCCAACAAGACCTGCAGGCTGGGAGATGCTCTGACCCATTTGTTGGCCATCACAGTTCGGCTCTTGTCAAAGTCACTCAGGTCTTTACGATTGTCCATTTTTCCTGCTTTCAACACATCAGCTTCAAGGACTTAATGTTCACTTGCTGCCTAATATACTCCACACTGACAGGTGCCACTGTAATGAGATAATCAATGTTATTCACTTGACCTGTCAGTGGTCATAATGTTATGGCTGATCAGTGTATTGTACAGCACCAGTAGCTAACTTTTAATTGGCCTTTTGAGTGATTAACAGTGCAACCAACAAACACTGTAGCTATTGTTTTAATATTAAAATGTTACATTTCTTTATAATGTATATTTTCCACCTGGCTGCTTTCAGGATGGGAGTCTGTACCATGTGGCGAGCCAGAAGTGTGTTCAGGCAGTCGACAAAACAGACAACGGGACACCAGCCCCCACACTCCAACCCTGCTCAGACAGCCTCCATCAAAAGTGGTTCTTTCAGGAGAGAAAGTAATGGTTATCAGCATTGGTGTAGTGCTGCTGGAAGGCACCCGAACGACGCTCCGCCACTTATTTTTTCTCCAAGAGAGGAGAATAGGCCTATTTGCATAATCTGCATATTGCATATTTTTGAATATTTTTTTCTTGGAGCCTACTGGAATATGATTTTTTTTTTTTTTAAATGAATGAGATGCTTCAGAATTGGCTATAACCTGTACAACTGTGTATGTTGACATTGTCCTTGTTTTTCTTTTACACAATCCACTACTGTTGAAATATTTGGGAATAAGATGAGCTAGTAGCTGGAATTAAAATGATTTACAGAGCCACACCATGAGGCATTTTATGATATGTGCATCTTCTCCTGTAGAGGGGGCCAATGTGCCTCTCTGCACGTTCCCTTCTTTCACTGTGCTCTGTCAGGAGAAAGTGAGACAGGTATTTTGTTAAGAACCTTTTCAAGAAATTTTGAGTGCTTATTGTTCTGACATACAAGTGGCTTAGAAAAAGCCCTTAGATCGCAGGAGTTATGCAAGTACCTAGTACCTTGGAGGCCATGCATACCCTGGAATACATGTTTGATCCTGATTCAGATTTAATCACCTAACTACTGATAACAGGAGAAACACCATTCTTAATTAGCTGAGTAAAACGGCTTGCAATTTTTTAAAATTAGTTTTTGTAGTAATTTTTGTTTAAAAAAAAAACTAGTCCACTTGCCTCCGTTTTGTGCTCTTTAAATGATTTTCAGCTTCAAAAGGCTAGATCATGGGAGAACACGACTGAGGCAGCCCTGGTCAGCGCCATCACTCACAGCCATGTTTTATGGGTTTACGTCATGAGGTGGCAATGTCTAGTGTTTTAAATTATGTATTTTTTAGAGGAGTCTAAATTATTGCTATTTCATGTTGTCATTGCAGACATCTCAACTTTAGTCACACTAGAGTGGAAATTTATTCATTTATTTATTCATGCTGGTTACGTGCAAATGCATAAACACTGAAATCTTCCTCCTCCTCTCGCTTTTCTACTCGGAGCCTATGTAAAGTGCCTAATGTTAAAAAAACAAAGTTCCATTCTATCATAAGATATCCATTCAGGATAAGAGGATCATAAGGAATGCTCGCTCTTGTGCTCAATTTATATGCATTCAGATGATGTGATAGACGGCATTAGTTAAGAGTTGTCATAAAATATCTAGACGGCGTATGTTTGCACCTCTGCTGATGCTGTGCACAGACAATGAGGCATTCCCCTTGAGTGAACGCATATTACTCTAGTGGATTGTGCTTATTTGTATACACTGCTTCTGTTTAAGACTCGGACAACTATTGATCCCTTTGTTCAGAGCTCTGGTCTTTTGTGCAGTTGTCACTCAGGCTATGCATTGGGACCAAGGGAAGGAATGGTAAATGAACTTGTGCATGCTTTTCTATGCCTTACAGCACACTCAGAACTTTGACACTATTTGCTCATTCAACCTTTCACACTCGCACTTGGTGATATCACCAGGAGTGAACCGAGGTTCAGTGTCTTGCTCAAGGACACTTCAACATATGCACAGAAGAAGCCGGGAATCAAACTGCCAACCCTCCGTTTCTGAGACCACCTGCTCTACCTCCTGAGCCACAGCCGCCCTGAGGAGGAGTGACAGTTGCTGGTGTCTCCAGAGTGCTCGGAGGGCAGATTGCTTCCTCATTGATTTTCTGGTCCTCTACTAATTCTTTATCACCACCCTCTCCCTCCATGTGTCAGAGAGGTAGAGGGAGGACAGCGGAGGACATTTTCATTTGGACCCATGCTGGCCGAATCTTCCTCAGATGAGCATTTGTATACTCGTGTGACTGAAGTTTTGATTTATGAATGGAAGTCATCATGAGTACGGTATTTCACAGCAGATTATGGAGGAGACTGAGTGAAGCAATTTGTGATCTCTTCCTTACCATTAACCTTCACAGGCTGTTGGCCCATCTGTCTACAAGGAGCTCTGTTAAGAAATGTTAGGAGACAATTGTACTGGAATACATGTTTGATCCTGATTCAGAATGTCTATTCATAGTAAGAGATGGAAAAGGAAAATGATTTTGGCTGGATCATTGCTGGGGCTTGAGTAGAATCAGAATCCCTTCATTTGCCAGATATAATGAATGCACAGAAATGTACGCATGACCTCACATAGTACAAGCATAAAGGGACGGTGCACGATGTGCTTTACTTGCCATCGTGAATATATATTAATTTTACTGTATTGTGCAGAGCTTTGGAAAAGAGTATCATGAGAAAGCTGTACTAAGTAGAATGAAGGCACAAAATATGTTCTGAGTTGATTAAATAACTGGGGTTAAAGTTCCCAGTAGTGCATCAAGGCTTTATGAATGGTACATGATTGTGCAGACAATGCTTGGTAATAAGTGAAATGAACCGGGGGCAGCCATCTCAGGCCTATGTGATGGGTGGTAAGGCTGATTGTGTGCAGCTTTGTCTCAGGAGAAGAACACTATGGCTAGGAAAGTCTTAGTTACATGGTGTTTGAAACAATTTCCAGGGTGTGCATGGCCTTTGGCAATCCTGCAGGCTTTTTATCATTTAAGCTGCTACAATTAGTATTCATGAGAATCATTTTCACCAGGAGCAGGTGAAAGTCTCCTTTTTAATACTGTGCTCATGCCTAATGTGCTTAAGAAGTGACAGCTTTTCTATTTCCTTCAGTTTTTGTCTTTAGCCGGTGAGTGTGGTGGGAATATTTTTATCCTGTTGTTAAAAGGGGTGATTTATTGCCCCATGTGGTCATGTGTTATTCTAGACACATAGTAAAACATTTTTTTTACACCAGTGTTATATTTGATATATTCCACACATCAGCAATAAAAGTGATATTTGCCAGTTGGGGATTATGTCTTTCTAGCAGGATTTTATATCGGTGAAACATGTGTTGTAAATAGTCCCGATGTCTCAGGAATGTTGACTGTACTGTCACACGACCCTAATGGACCAAGCGGTGCTGTTTTCATATCTTCTTTGTATAATGGTAAACAATTTCCAGTCGGGACATTTGAATGATTTAAGTGGTAAACATGCAGAACTAATAAGGCTGAAATTCAACACCATGTCTGATGTATTCATACTGTCAGTAACTCAAATGGCCTTATGTTGTTATTAGGAATGTAAAGGATGTAATATTATTTTTGTTTTTGCTGGATTCAGCTTGTACAGTGTACTATGAAAATGAAAGTCAAATTAAGTAAACAAGTTGGTAATGTTGGATTTGGGTTGTTGCCTTTGTTTTCTTTAAAATGTGCATTAACACTGGAAACACTGTAGATGTAATTTATAAAGATACTCAACTAAATATAGTTTTGCCCTCAACGTTCACCATTGTTTTTCTGTAAAACTGTGGCTCATCTTCATCCAGGAGGAATTAAACAGGCTAGCATCCACATTTAACTGTGATGGAGATGTGAATCAAGATGTTCGAAGGGTAATGAGAGAAGAAAAGGAGAGAAAGAAAGGATGGGGTGAGCTTTCCAACCTTATCTGATTGGCTTGGTCACCAGTGAGATGAGTGATATGGTGAAATGTGCTTGCACCAAGTCTCTCTGTTTCCCCTGGTGTTGACACTCTGCCCTGCAGTCTCTTTGTCACTCATTGATGATGCTCTGCTGTTTGTTTCATAGGATACAATGAAAATGGAAGCAGCCACATAGTAATGGATAGAGGTTAAAACCATACATGGTTTTTAGTCAATATTTTTACATAAAACTACATGTACTAAAAATATACCCTTTATTTAAAAAAAAAACATATTACAATAGGTTAAATTTCATGCAAGTGCCATCTATCAATTTCAGCTGTTCAAATGTACCACACTGCTGAAAATAATAGAGGAACATTTGTGCTCCACTGGAGGCACAGCATGAGATGAGCTGGTTTCTCTTTTGCATAGGATGACACTCTCTGATGGAAAACATGCCAGAAATCTTCTCATTCTGACAAATGCTGCTTAGACACCACTTGGCTGCTTTATAGGAAAATGAGAAGTGGTGCTGTACTGTGCTCCCAGTCTTTTTGGTGCATTGCTGTGAAACATGCAGTACAAAACAGCCCCATGAATGATCCCAAAATTCTGTAAATGTGCCCACAGAAGTGATGCATGTTGTTGCAATTCCTGCTTACAGCTCAGGCCTTCTTTTGGATTCACTGTGGCATAGAGTGCATGCAGCAGAACAGTCTCCCACACCCCATATGTCTCTTTATTGATAATGCAATACAAAACTCCCCTTGGTGCACGTCTTTGGAGATATTCGGTTGTCAGGGAGCAAGGCGAACTATAGGTGGAGCAGCACGCACACTGATAGGAGGCAATTTTCTACTCTGCATGTCGATTTAGTTTATGTAATCCCCAATACCCAGAACAGCTTGGGAGCAGTGGTTGTAGGCTGCATACATTAGATGACACACTTTCACTTGCAGGAGGGACTCCAGACAGTGCAATAAACATGTGAGGCCTAGATACAGAGATAACATTGCATTTCTCATCTTCTGCAGCTGCCTGGAGTCTGACGAGGTGGATCATCAGCAGCAAGGCTTCCATTAAGTCTCACAGCTGGTAAATTAGTTGAAATTGTCATTAGTTTAAATTACCATTCTACTAATTCTACTGTTCATCATTTATGTTTCAGGAATATTGCTGTTGGACCATGTGTGTCATTTTCATTTGGCAGAATTCATCACTTGTATTGAATTCAGTTTTCCAGGAGGCAAAGAAACACTTCCATCAATCTATCTTTGTGAGGGTCGCCAGGGTGCCCTCTGTGACCAAGAGGTGGGGTACCCTCTGGACAGGTCACCAGTCTATTATGCATAGAGACTTACAACCACCCACACATACAGTATGCACAATTCAGAGCGTCCAGTCAGCCTAACCTGCATGTCGGGACTGTGGGAGGAAGCTGGAGTAACCAGAGAAAACCCATGCAGCCGAGAGGGGAACACACAAACTCTACACAGAAAGGCTCCGGTTGGCCAGGAGGTTCAAACCCAGAACCGTCTTGCTGTGAGGCGACAGTGCTAACCACCTCACCACCAAGGTGCTCCAAATCAGAAGTTAAACGTGCCATTAAATTTGTGTCCCCTCTCTCCTGTAGTGTGTCCTCTTTATCTCCCTGTACCTTTCT